CATTGTAAAAATGACAAACCTACAGGTTAATGCACATAGTAATTTCAATCTTCAAGGAGACAGAAAAGGTGACTTTAAGTTTCATTTGGAAAGGAAAGAGACCCTGATTTAAAAAAAAACTTCTGAAAAACAAAAATGTAGTAGGATCACTTTCTGATCTCAAAACCTATGATTAATTCCCCCCAAAGGGTCATGTAATTTGATGGAGGGCATGAGGGAAATGTAAAGGATCCAGTGTGAAAAACAATGTATTTGAATTCTGTAAATAAACTAGTATAAAAAATAATGTAAAATAGAAGGCCTATGAATGATTGTGTGAGACAAAATGTAAATGAAAGATTGTATAAAACAATGCATATGAATGAAATATATGGAAAAAGTATTATTATATGAAAACCAATAAAATATTTAAAATTAAAATCAAACGCTTAAACAGCTGTAGTAATCAAAATAGCATGGTACTGGTTCAAGGATAAATACATAGTGAAAAAGAACTGAAAACCCAGAAATCAAAATCAACCCATCTATCTATGGTAAATCATTTATCTAAGGTAAATTATCCTGAAAAAACTATTCAGGATGCTTGACCCTATGAAGAAGAATGTGGCATCAGGATCAGAGGAAGATTTATCAACAACCTATGTTATGCCAATGATACAACCTTACTTGCTGAAAGTGAGGAATACCTGAATCTCTTGCTACAGAAGATCAAACAATGTAGCCTTCAATATGAATTGTTCTCAATGTAAGAAAAAATTCTTACCATTGGACTGACAGACAGCATCATCATAGATGGAGAAAAGGTTGAAACTTACAATAATTTTCATTTTACTTGGATTCACTATCAATATCTTTGGTACTAGCAATGACATCAAGAGACTTCTTGCCCTCGGAAAGTCTAGTCAAGGTCTTCTCTAAATTACTAAGGGAAAATGCTGCCAGTTTAAGCACTAAGGTGCACTTGTTTCAGGCCCTGTTGGGTTTTTTTTTTTTTTAATCACCTGCTTTGTATCTGAGAGTTGGACAAAGAATAAGGATGGCAGAATTAACTGCCAAAAGAAAAAACAGAAATACCCTGGACAAAGTACAGCCACAGTTCTCTTGGGGGTGAAAGTAATAAAGCTCATCTCACATACTTTGGGCATGTTGCTAGAAGAGGTTATTCCTTAGAGATGGACATTATGCTTGGAAAGATGGAGAGTTGTTGAAAGAAAGGAAGACCTTCAACCAGATGGGACTAACACAGTGACTGCATCAATCGACTTTAGTGTGTCAGAGATGATACAGGATAAGACAGGGTTCATAAATGTTGTTCAGAGGATTGCTGTAAGCTGTATTCAATTCTAATGAAGGTAACAACAACAAACACAAAAAGTAAATTGATATTTGACAAGGAAACAAAACCCATTAAATGGGGAAATGACAGCCTCTTTAATAAATAGTGCTGGCAAAACCGGGTCTCTATCTGTAGAATATTGAAATAAGATCCACATTTCACACCATACACAAAACCGACTAAAAGTGGATCAGACAAAGAAACTCCCTATGACCCAACTATTCCACTTGTAGGAATATATTCCAAGGAAATTGGAACTGAGACACAAATGGAGGTCTGTACACCAGTGTTCATAGCAGCATTATTCACCATCTCAAGGATATGGAAACAGCCCTAATGTCCAACCACAACTGAATGGATTGAAAAATTGTGGTACATTCACACAATGGAATACTAAGAAGCACTCAGGAGCAATTATTTAGAAAAATATTCCATAACTTGGTAGAAACTGGAGAGCTTTATGTTGAGTGAACTAACTCAATCTCATAAGGACAGATACTGTGTAAGACCATTATTGTAAAACTATAAGGATAACTAGTAAAACATATATGAGCACCAAAGAGGGGAAGGGGTGGTAGCAGAGGGGTTACAATGGATAAGAACAAAACGACAGAGTTTCACAGTTTGGTGGGTTGAGGGGGTGGAACAAAGAAATGGGTTGTATCTGGCGATGACTTGAAAAGACAGGGTAATGATGGGCAAGGTCTAATGGTGATTAATTTTATAAAGCATAATGGTGTCTCTCTGGAGACTAAGGTGCGTCTGATGGAGGCCATGGTCTTTGCTATCACTTGTTATGCATCAGAGAGTTGGACAATGACTAAGGAGCATAGAAGGAGAATTGATGCCTTTGAGCTGTGGTGCTGGAAAAGAGTATTGAGAATACCATGGACTGCTAGGAAAACAAACAGATTCATCCTGGAGAGGGTTAAACCAGGCGGCTCCTTGGAGGCAAGGATTCTGAGGTTCCGTCTAACATACTTTGGACATGTTGTAAGGAGGGACAGGTCCTTGGAGAGGGACATCATGCTGGGTAGGGTGGAGGGACAGCACAGGAGGGGAAGGCCCTCTATGAGGTGGACTGATTCAGTGACTGGGATAATTGGGATGGGAGTGTCAGAGACAACGTGATTGGCACAGGACAGAGCAGAGTTTAGGTCTGTTGTACTTAGGGTCATTATGAGTCGCAAGTGACTCGATGGCACGTAACAACAACAACAAATGCATGATAATGATTGTATAAAATACAATATGAGTGAAGAATAGTATAAAGCACAATGTGTACCAACTTTGTAAGCAAACTAATATAAAATAAAAAAGATTAAAAAAAAATTGGGTCAGAGACCTAGGGACAATAAAGATCACAGGAGACAAAGTGGCAATGAATTTAGAAGTCTTAGTCCATGGCACAAATAAGCTTAAAAACATAGCCCACAATATACAACCAGTAAAGGATAAAACCAATGAATGGGACCTTTTTAAAATCAAATTCCCTTGTGCATCATAAACTTTCTTCAATAAGTGGTAAAGAGAGCTCACAGACTGGGAAAAGCCTTTGGTAATGACAGTTCAGACATGGATCTTATAACTAAAGTTTACATATTACTTCAGGGCTTTGACAAGAAAAAAACCCCTTGTAATTAAATCACAAAATGAACAAAAGATAGGTAAAGTTTCTTTTTAAAAATTTTTCCAATATTTCTTTTTTTGTTTGTTATTTTTTTCCTTTTTTATTATTACTAATTTTAATGACAGTTTACAGAGACTTTGGATTTCCATTCATTCACTGTTGCACTTTTCTCCCTGCCCAACCTCTCCCACCCAGTTTGCTCTTCTCTTTGAAAAGGAAAAGAAAAATTCTTTCATTGTTATACAATCCCTCCCCCCAAGTCTACTCCACTATGCAGCCTTTGTTCTGGACTCCTGTCATGACAATACCTAATCATATATCCCTTTTAAACAGTTCTCTCATCTGTTTCAATGCAGTATACATAATTTATCCCATTTTTCTCAGTCTCCCTCCAACCCTGATGTGAGTCTTGTTGATTTTCAGTACTTCTTCATGTGTCATTAGCTGTCTGAATCCCTTCCTTTTTAAAGAGATTCAGATGGCTAACAAACACATGAAGTATTAAAAATCACTATAAAGAGGCAAATCAAAATAATGATGATAAACTACTTCATTCCAGCAACAGTAGAAAAGTGTAACAATACAGAAAACTATTAAGGTTGGAGAATATGTGGAGAGGTTAGAACTCTTATGCTTTACCGGTGGAATTGTGAAATAGTACAACTGCTAGGGAAAGCAATTTGGCATTTCCTGAAAAAGTTGGAAACAGACATTCCATCTGGCTCAGTTATTTCACTGCTAGGAATATAGTCCAAGGAAATCAGAACTGAGACATAAATGGACATATGTACATCTATGTTCATGTTGCTATTGTTGTGGAATGCCATCGAGTTGAGCATGACTCATGACAACCCTATGAACAAAAGGCCTGAAGCCTTTCTATAATTATCATTATTTATCAATGTTCATAGAGATTCCAGAGGCATGTTGTTTAAGAAGTGATGCCAAAAACAGTGTTATTAAAAAAACAGCAAAAAAATGGAAACAGCCCAAACCCATTATCCAATGAAGGGACTGAAAAACCACGGTGCATTTACACAATGGAATACTAAGCAGCACTAAGGAATAATGACTTTATAAAATACTATATAATTTGGGAGAGATTAAAGAGCATTATACTGAGTGAAATAACTCAGTCATATAAGGACAAATATTGCATATGTCCATTATTGTGAAAACAAGAGGATAATTGAGTAAGATACGCATAAATGTTCTAAAGAGAAGAGGAAGAACAAAAAGGAGAAAATCACTAGGATATCAGAAGTTAGTGGGCAAGGAGTGGGGGTGAAAAATAAAAAAGAGTCAATGAGGACTTGAAGATAAGGGATGATAAATGGCATAGATTAATAAAAATTAATTATATAAAATATAGTGTATATAATAAAAAGACTCGACAGCATATAACAACAACGATACTAGCTTGAAATCAACATCATAAAAGGAAACTTCTATACTCAGATCTTTCTGGCAATTGCTTAGCATGCAACTTCTATGTTGACTGCCATGCCAAATGAGACCTTGACCTTCAAATCAAAGTGCTGCATGGTCTGGCGTTATTCACCCTACCTGAATCTCAGTGCTTCCTTGATTAGAAGCACACACAAATGCTATTCTCTTTAATGTGTCATGTGTCAATGTACGAAGGTCTAACTTGTATTTGTTAAGTATTTTCTAATGTGAATAGAGCATGTAATAATGAAAAGTATTTGTTAAAAACGCACATATACTCTAGTTGTAGTATTTTTTTCCCTTTACGTGTAAGAACATTCCATAATGTTCCTTATTTAGAAGCTGAGCCTTTCAGGGACTTAGCTTTTTGCATGAAGGATACAAAAAGATAAAACAATATGATTTTTCCAAGAAAAAGAAATCCCTTCAGTTGTTAAATTTCTTACTAAAAAAAAAAATATCAACTCTGTTATTGCTTTAGTAAACAACAATAAATGTGCAGATATTCTGCAGATATACATGCAGGGATAATTGTTCATTTGCTTCAAATACTAATCACATTTTAAGATTTAAATTGTGCATCACCTGTACAGCTGTTACCTTTTCCAAAGGACTTTCTACTCGAGGAATGCTGATCATTGGCATCTGTGCCAGATTATCCATGTGTATATGCTCATTTTCTGGTTGTTTTCCTTTGAAATTATTTACCACGCACACAACCTAAAATTTTAGAAAAAAATTACAGTTAAAACAAAACCATGCTCCCTCTGACAAGGCCTCTCTTTGAGTAGCTTAATAAATCTAATCAGAGCACTAATGCATTAAAATGATTTTAAATATTTCATGTATCTGACTTTACAGTTGGATTTCTTGTGCACACATTTTATAACTACTGCAGTGTAGCTCAATTCATAATGCAATTATATTCCAAAATATTCATTATTTTAGGCATAGTCAATACTCAAATCAATCCAAAAATAACATTCTAACCTTATAAAAATTCATAGCAAGCTAACCTTTCTGTAATGTAGCTAACCTACAACTTAATTTAAATGCTAATTATTTCCCATTGCTTCCAATCATTATATTCATAATAAACCTTCTGCAATTGGCACCCTCAAATTTAGTAGCTACCCTTTAATTAACCTGGTTTATTGTCTACTATTATATCCCACACACAGTTGGCATTTTAACAATAGATTACTTAAACTCGCCCTAAAATAGAAGACCCTTCACAAAAAGGAAATTGATACTTTTTTCAATTGATCAACACCAATAGGTGCAGAATTGTAATTAACCTAGAGGTTTTCTAACTCTGTTGTTCATAAAAAAATGTTACAGCACTGTTAAAAATGAACATTCTTAATATTTCCCATTATATTTTGGTTTGGAAGGGTGAGCATGACAATTAAAATACATGATTTTGAAAATTCATTCCAGAAGTTTCTGAGGCAGGTTGATCAATATTTTCAGAAACTATAAATGAACACTGGACAAATTATCTGCTATTGTTTGCTTATATTAACTATGCAATATTCTTGAGCTTTCTTTTTTGTGCTTTATATTCTATTATCAAACCAACATTCATTACTTACTTGATATTAAAATGTCAGCAGTCAACATTTTTGGAATCACAGAAGCCAAGAAAGCGTAAGATACAAGCTGTCAGATCAGGGGTTGGACAATGGAAGATATCTTCTGAAGGGACTTGGCAGATGAGAAGGGTTATCCTGGTGGAG